AAAAAAAAAAAACAATAAAAAAAGCTAAATTAAAAACTACAATTTTTTTTTTTTACAAAAATAAAAGTAAATATAAAAATATAGAAATAAAAAATAAAAAGCAAAATTAAAAACTACAAAACAAACAAAACTTAAAAATATTCAAATAAATATTTATATATATATTATGGAAACCCATAACTGCAACATTTTTTTTTCACAATTCTGACTTTTTTCTCAGAATTGCAAGATATAAACTCGCAAAGGCAAGAAGAAAAATCAGAACTGTGAGAATTGTAAGACAAAAAGTCCGATTTTTTAGTTTTTATCTCGCAATTTGACTTTTTCTCTAAATTGCAAGAAACAAAATATGAATTGTGAGATATATATATACTCAGAATTACGATAAAAAGTCAGAATTGCAAAAAAAAACAAAAACACAATTACCTTTTTTTTTAAATTCCGTGAAGGAAATGGGCTTCCATAATAATAATATGGATTATTATTTTATATTTATAAAAAAATAAAGAAATAAAAAAATTTTAAAAATAAAATTAAAAGAGAGAAAATAAAAATATATAAATAAAAATTGCACTGCTATGCCATGGTGACATTCCTTAATTTCTACAAGAGGGATGTGTTTACAAGGACCTACTGTATAATAATAGTACTTCATAGCTTAGTTACAGTTCAACATTTCCTGTCGATGAACTGTAGTACACAGATTTGTGGCACTGTTGGACCAAAAGAAAGAGCCATAAGGTCAAAAAGGGGTACCATGATCAGATCTTGACTGCATTACAATTTCACATTCTGATTCATTCGGTTTACTTAAGTGGTCCTTCACGCTATTCTGAAAAAAAAAAAAATATATTATCATGTCAGTAATTCCATAGAATAATCTCTAATGATTGACGTGCAATGGGAAAAGACAAAACATGTAACCGAACATCCTCATCCAGGCAGTTTTCTTCTCCGTGATGATAAAGACTCGGTGTGGATTGGGGGAACTTCACCGCCGCTTGACCTCAAAACATTACAGCGCCAAATCCAAATAGAAGCACTTCACACATAAAAGATGGTGTGGAAGGGATCCGGGGTTGGTTTCTAGCTCTGGTAGCTTACCTATGGACAGTTTCGCATTGGCAGCAAGGCAACACGGTAATAATTGGGGGTAAAGAGCCGTCACAGCAAACACAAGCTGGGTTCACAGAGCGTATTGTCTTTGCACAGTCAGAACAACTATACATGATTATTTCTCCTTATAAATTCATATATCAATAGTTTTTATAAATAAAATAGTACTCAAATCCAAAAAAAAGCGCAAAAAGGGATCTTTACAGGAGTTGTGGCTCCTTAAAGGAATAGTTCAGACAAAACTTTGCGGTACCATGATCAGATCTTGACTGCATTACAATTTCACATTCTGATTCATTCGGTTTACTTAAGTGGTCCTTCACGCTATTCTGAAAAATATATATATATATTATCATGTCAGTAATTCCATAGAATAATCTCTAATGATTGACGTGCAATGGGAAAAGACAAAACATGTAACCGAACATCCTCATCCAGGCAGTTTTCTTCTCCGTGATGATAAAGACTCGGTGTGGATTGGGGGAACTTCACCGCCGCTTGACCTCAAAACATTACAGCGCCAAATCCAAATAGAAGCACTTCACACATAAAAGATGGTGTGGAAGGGATCCGGGGTTGGTTTCTAGCTCTGGTAGCTTACCTACGGACAGTTTCGCATTGGCAGCAAGGCAACGGCCGTGATGAACATTAAAACACAATCAGAGACAACGTGTGGGCTCCTTTGTGATTTGCAGCTAATTCAGGCTAATTAAAAATTACCAAAGCTCTTAAGCTGCAAATATGCCACTTGCTGCCTATGATAAGACTTTCTTTATTGGTCTGTATTGTGGGAAGAGATAAATATGTGCTAAGGAAACTAACAACTGCCTCCACAGTTCTGAAGCACAGCTACTATAGCGGTGCAATTCTATATTTCTGAATTTTGCTTTGAGGTTAAAAGTTCAGCCCCTCATTCCTTATGTTGTGAACAGTAAACAATAAACTAAATCATACGTTTTATGAAAGCGCGGGCGGAAAGTAGTCGCACGCTTTTATATAAATGATCGCAGAAAAGTTTCTGACATTATGTTGGAGATATTTGTGATCAAACCCCCCACTGGCGACATTCTTCATTTACCACTTCAGCCCTGCCGCTGATGATGTTTTACTCCCCTCCTGCATCTACCTCTAGCCTGAAGGGCTGCTGAGCTTTGGGAAATCCAGAGCAGGTCAGGAGTTCATATGTGGGCTAGAGTAAAGATCTGATGGAGTAAACAAACATTCCTCTATGATCCACACTGAAAGAAATTGTAAATACGCTTGTTCGGAAAACAACCCTCTTTCCCTCTTTCCGAATTGAACAACATGATGAGATAAATGACACTGTTTCATCATAAAACGCATTACATATAGTCACGTGCGAAGCTCATCTCAGATCCAAGCTGTTTTCAGCTTAAACTGTGCCCTAGAAGAGGTAGCTTGTAAAGGAACAGTTCACCCAAAAATGAACATTTTCTGAAAATGTACTCACCCTCAAGCCATTTAAGATGTAGATGAGTTTGTTTCCTCATCAGATTTGGAGAAATGTAACATTATATCACTTGCTCCTCTGCAGTGAATGGGTGCCGTCAGAACGAGAGTCCAAACAGCTGATAAAAACATCACAGTAATCCACAGGTAATCCACACCACTCCAGTCCAGCAATTAACATCTTGTGAAGTGAAAAACTGTGTATTTGTAAGAAACAAATCCAACATTAAGAAATGTTTAAATTAAAACCATTGCTTCGACTAAAATACAAGTCCATAATCCATCATGGATTACTGTGTTTTTATCAGCTGTTTGGACTCTCATTCTGACGGCACCCATTCACTGCAGAGGAGCAAGTGATATAATGTTACATTTCTCCAAATCTGATGAGGAAACAAACTCATCTACATCTTAAATGGCTTGAGGGTGAGTACATTTTCAGAAAATGTTCATTTTTGGGTGAACTGTTCCTTTAAATATTAAGATTCTTATGCTAGTGATGAAGAGCTTCTCAGAGATTAAACAAGAGGACATGGAGCTGAATTGTAAATTATGAAAAAAAACGTCTCAATGCAAAACCACACTGATCTGGAAACCAGTTTGGAAATAATCATTATTTTGCAATTCTGTGCAATTCTTTGCACTTCACCTTTGATGTCAACATGAAATGCCATTTACAATCCATTTTACTGTTGCAATTTCAGTGTAAAACTGAATATTCAGTGGGACTTTCTTTTTTAAAAGTTATCATGGTGACACATTATTGCCATATCATTTATTATAATGCTTAAAAATTATGCAAAATTAGGCCAGGAACACTTACACTGCCGTTCAAAAATTTGGGATATGTAAGATTTTTTATGTTTTTGAAAGAAGTCTCTGTTCACCAAGGCTGCATTTATTTGATAAAAAAATACGGTAAAAACAGTAAAATTGTGAAATATTATTACAATTTAAAATAGCTGTTTTCTATTTGAATATATTTTAAAATCGAATTTATTCCTGTGATGCAAAGCTTAATTTTCAGCATCATTACTCCAGTCTTCAGAAATCATTCTAATATGCTTAAAATTTCTGATTATTATCAATGCTGAAAACAGTTGTGCTGCTTCATATTTTTGTGGAAACTGTGATTGTTTGAGGAATATTAAGTTTATTTTTTTGTCACATTATAAATGCCACTTTTGAGTCCTTGCTGAATAAAAATAAACCGGTAGTGTAAATAGAGAGTAAACAGCAAACATTTCTCCGTTAACTCTTTGAGAAGGTCTTCATTTCTGATGGTCAAACAATAAAAGGGGCACGTATGACCTAACAACATCTTTAAAAAACAAAATTGGCAACAGACCTGGGCCGACTGCCAATACTGGCTCACAGCCATGTACCTTTCCTCTAGAAAAGTCTTGAAAGACTGGGATCCTGTGGGCACATCATCATTTCAGTTAGTATTCCTTAAAAACATAATCAGAGAGTATAAATGGAAAATGCGAAGGATGCAAGGCCCTTTCATAACCAACCATCTTTAGGTCTATGAAGATACATATGACTGAGGAAGATAGTAACCACTAAATCCTTGAACCTCTGAGAGAAACAAACAATAAATACAAAACAAAACAATTATAATAAAAGATATGTACACACATTTCCAACAATAGGGTCTCTATAATACTTTAAACCTTTAAAATGGCATACAAATATACTTCTGCTCAACGTGTGAAGCACTAATCAGGTCAGTTAGAAAATTAATAAAGGATAAATTATTATACAAAATTCATCACCGGTTAAAGTTGCTTTACCACAGAGGTGTCAGTCCTGGCCTCTTTTTTTTTTTTTTTAATCGACAAACACTTGTGTGTCAAAAACAAATACTCAAAAACCTGAATTCATCCAATTTAGAAAAATACAACTTGCCGAAAAAGCGTCTGTAAAATATTCCCTTGTTTGAAACCCTCCTTTTTACGTAGTTCAGACTTGAAATTAAGTGCACTTTAGATCGACATGGCTGAGTCTGAAGGGTGTTCCTTCATGTTGTCCCCATCTACGTGAAAATAAAAATAAAACTCCATATCGCTGAATGTCTGAAACGTGTTGTGTACTGGTTAAATCAAAATCTGAATCTGCATGAGACTGAAGGAAACGTGAGAAATCATTCTTCGATAAACTGGCAGATGAAGCGTTTATTCCTAATGGGAACAGAACGGAAGAAGCCCTGTAGGAAAGGAGGACGCAAAGGACGCGACTCAACCGTAGAGGCAGCAGTGGGATCAAGGCAGGACAGACACAGTGCTGGCGTCCCGCGTCTACAGGACGTCCCAAGCTCTTCTCAAACTCACACTGCATCAGTGAGGGACCTTGGGCTACAAAACACATCGGTGGTTAGAAGGTTTGCATATGCAAAGATTCTGATTTCTTCTTCTAGTGCATAAAAATATAATAGAAAATATATTCATACTAGAAAAAAATCATGATTCAAAACTTTGAAAAACATTATTAAATATATATTGAAAAAAAAAAAATTTTAGATTACTATCTTTTATGAGCTAGAAAAAATATATAGTACACTAGAATAAAATGTAGACACTAGAAAAATTGCATGATTGTAAATAACTTATTATTAATATAAAAATATAACATATTATTAATATAAAAATATAACAAATAATAATAAATATAATAATTATATAATATTGTAATTCTTTTCCAGGGTAGAAAAAAAACATATATAGAGAATATGTGTATGCTTGAAAAATCACAACTTTTCATATTATTTTAATAAATAATCATTCATTTACATATATTTATATATATAATATTTTTATTTTCAAAATATATATATTCAAAAAAAATTTGAATACTATTAAAAAAATTATAAATCTTTTCCAGGCCTAAAAATTACAATATTGAAATTCCTTAATATTTTATGTTTCTATTATAATATTTTATTCTTTAATATATCTTATGTCATATTGAGTGTTTTTCAGTGGATAAATACAATAAATTGAAATCAACACACACGCAAAAAATCGGTCTATCTCAATCGGTCTATAAAGACACGGTACTACATTTTTAACATGTTTTACCTGTCTGGGGAGGGCGCTGTGGGGCGAACCGCTGCTGCTCTTCCTGAAGATGCCGTCCAGTGCTGTGGATTTGGTGCTTTTGCTGGGTTTGTCGCTGCTGGCGCTCGAGCCAGAGCTCTTCCTCTTCCTCCCATCGGAGGATCCGTAGGGCAGCGGGCTGTGGGACGAGACGCCCCCGTGATCCCCGGTGAGCGCCTGCGGGAGGGACAGCTCCACGCTCCTGTACCTGTCCTGCTCCCTCGGCCCCGGGGCCCCCGGTCGCGGCTTGGCCCGCACGCTGAGGGCCGCCGTCCCGTTACTGATGTGCGCCGCGCCCAGCGGCAGATGGTAGCTGTTCCCGCTGCTCCCGCTCTTTCGGGACTCAGAGGCCGGAGGCGCTTTCCGCTTTTTAAGTCCCGTTCCGTCCCCTGAGGCTTTGGGCGGCTTGGCCGGTTTATTCTGCTGCGGTCTGGGTCCGGGTCCGGGGTCCCGGATGCAGAAAACCCCAGCGCCGTTATGAGAGAAAGAGGTGGAGTACGAGACCATGGAGACACCGTCCAGAGGAGCAGCCAGCGCGTGGTTGGGGGCGAACGGAGAGCCGAGAGGAGAAACTTCAGTCGAGCTCGTCATGCTCTCCACCGCTAGGGGGACTTTCCTGTGACAAACAGGATATGACATCACCAGTGTGTGGTAGGAAGCCGCGTGGCACATTAACCTAAATGTCGTGTGTTCACTGAGTGAAAGAAAACGTTTTGAGCCTTTGTAAAGTCATTCGAGTACTAAAACTACACAGCTGAACTGAAGCGGTTAACATTCATTTAATTCATTAAAGGCTTATGAAACAAACCTCACCAAAAAAACTAAATCTCACCAAAAAACATCTTGGTCATATCTCACCCCTAAATAAAAAAAAGAAAAATAATATTTTGCATAAAGAAAATGAAGTCTTTTTTTTTTTATTGCAATTTTATTTTAATGAGGCTATTTTTTATATATATTTATATTTATTATTTAAATCTGTATGATTATTATTTAATATACATTATTATTATTATTATTATTATACATTATTAAACATTAATTGTGTTTATATTCAGATATTACAGAATAATAAATCAAATTATTATTTTTTTCTAGCTTGGAAATAATATTAATTATTAATTTAACTAATATTAAATAAAATAAAAAAATAATTATTATTTGTAAATATGCTTAACCGCCATAAACATGTTTACTAAGAATTATTTATCATATTTATCATACAATCATATTTAATGACATTACTCAGTTTAATGATGTTTAAAAAACTATTATTAATAAAAACAATAATTTTATGTTTAATGATTTGTTTAATAATGTCATAAAAAAATAAAACAACATGAAAAAAAATGTCAGAATGCAGACAAAAATCTTGATCAGGTTTTTTGCTTAATTCAAAATATATTTAATTTCTTATGATATTTGGGTGAAAATAATATTTTGCAGATGAAGCCTATTTTGAAGATCAGAAAGATTTTTGCATTGCAACATTTTAAGGTGGCTATATTCCTATGGCATTATTAAACATAAATTGTTGTATTATAATTAATAATAATAATAATAATAATAATAGATTAACTGTTAATGAAAATAATGTCCAAATAAAAAAATTACTGTGACAAGTCCTTATTTTCTTAACGCAAAATATTTTTTTCTTGTGATTTTGGGGTGAAATACAACCCCTACTATACACAGATTCACCCTATTATGGGAAAAGTGAACTGAATGTATGCACCCATAAATGCATAATTCATAAGCAATAATTGTGTGAGCGGATGGACAAGCGTGTAGCTGTGGGCCATGCGGGACGCTCACCTCCACATGAGAGAGTTGACGTGTTTTTCCACCATGCAGTGGAGCGCCAGCCGCACCCGGTCCCACCGCCGGTCGAACACGTAGTGCCCCCGTCCCATCAACCGACTGCTGAACGCACAGCACTAAGACAGGAGAGAATGGGTTTTCACCTTATATTACTCCATTTTTAAAATGCTTTACGCATATACAGTAATATACAGGGTCCCAAATGTTGTAATGTAGTGGTTTGGTGCAGCTCACGCTCATGGCTCGCGGGTGCTGTGGAGAATAGTGGCACAGCAGCTTCTCAGACTCCTCAGGGAGGTCGCTTTCTCCTTCATCGCTGGACAGATGTGCGTCTCCGCTGCACTGCTGCCAGCTGAGCGTGGGTTCAGGAGGAGGAACGGGTGCAGAGCTGCAAATAAAAGACTGATGAAACTCGAGGATGAACATTTTTCAGATTTTTTTTTTTAATCATTTAAAGTTATATTTTAGTATTATCATATACTCTTCTATTATTTATTTTTATTTATTTATTTTTATTTTCATTTGTTTTGATAATTTTGTTATGTGCTTTTGTCATTTTTTTATTATTTTTTTCTGTTTAGCGTTCATGTATTTTTAGTACTTCAACATTTTTCTGGCAATTTAAAAATCGGGCAAGATGTGAATATTGCAATGATTTTAAATGCGCTTTTTATTTGCCCATTAAGTTTCCTATCAAACGTGTCATTTTTATACTAGTTAAACAATCTTTTCTTATCCCATTTTAAACTTCAGCAGAAAAAAAAATGATATAGTTGGTAAGTTTGATTCTAAAGGGCCAAACTCATTCTATGCACACAATATAGACAAATAAAAATGGTTAGTTTTGTATTATTTATATACCATTATAGTATTTATTAATGTTTTGAATTATTATTATTTTTTTTTTCATTTTAGTTTAGTTTTTAGTTATTTTGTTATGTACTTGTGCCTTTTTTATATTTCTATTTAACTTCATTTCTTTTATTTATTAATATTATGAATTGGATTTTATTTTGATATTGTCCGGTTTTTTATTTTTCAGTTTCAGTAAATTTTGTACTTCTACTTAAATTTATTTTATTTTAGTTAGTTGCCAAGGCAACATTTCTAATTTTCATTTAAAGTTGACATTCTAATAATTATTCACCATCATACTACAATAATTATAATATGACAAGATATATGATAGTGATAATATTTATATTTTATTTTAGTTCAGTATAAAACTAAAATCTGTGAATCCGTTTATACAGTTCAGTTCAATAAATGAATTCAGAACTCTGATTCAACTATTCAAAGTGCACCATCACTTAAAAATGTCATATTTAAAAAAATATTAATATTACTACAAATATTAATATTATTTAATATTACAAAATATTTATGTTAAATATCTAATATTTAATATAAAATGTTTTTGTAAAATTATGTAGGAAAATATGAGAAATGTTTATTTATACGTTGTGTGTGTGTGTGTGTGTAAGAAAATAGATTTATATACATAGCATATAATATTTTATTACTATATCATGTTTATTTAAATACTACATATATAAAAACATTTATTATATGCTTTTAGTCAATTAAAATGCACTAATTAATTATGCTAATGTCAGAATGCATTGAGTTTTGACCAAATTTATATACCATTATAGTATTTATTAATGTTTTGAATTATTATTATTTTTTTTTTCATTTTAGTTTAGTTTTTAGTTATTTTGTTATGTACTTGTGCCTTTTTTATATTTCTATTTAACTTCATTTCTTTTATTTATTAATATTATGAATTGGATTTTATTTTGATATTGTCCGGTTTTTTATTTTTCAGTTTCAGTAAATTTTGTACT